GAAGGAGGAGAGAGACACCAACCGACGCTTGGGGGGGAGGAGAAGGAGAAAGACACTGACCGACGCTGGGGGGGAGGAGAGAGACAGCGACCGACGCTGGTGGTTTAGGACATAATACATTTTCAATGTTACAAATAAGGTATGTGATTAAAGAAAACCTCCAGGAAAAAAACTTTAATAACCCTTGCAGTGGGGCTACTCGCACACCGCAAGGGTTAAGTGATAGTTTTTGTCATGGTTCAAAAATAACAAAGTATTACTCACCTGAAGCTTCAAGCCAGCTGGCTGTTACAGCGCTCCTTCCAACCTCTTTCCTCCTACACTGAAGCAATGGTATGTCCCTGGGCGACCTTACTTCTATACACATGTATAGAACGTGATGATTTATAGGACCATAGACCACTGCAGCAATGGTGGAAAGAGGCTGGAGGGACCGGTCTAAAAGCAAGCCAGCTCTGCAGTTCAGATTAGTATAACTTTTTTAACCTAGACAAAAACGAGCAGTTAACCCTTGCAGTGCAGGGGTAGCCCCATTGCAAGGGTTAATAAACTTTTAATTTAGGATTGCTTGTTATATTACTGAAATCCATTCATGCTTACCTATTAACTTTGTGTTTTGGAAAATTGATGCTGTTTTTGATAAATAATGTGAAATTTTCTGCTTGCAGCAATAATGGAGGACTAAAAAAGGAAGTAAAATAATTAATTAATTTATAACATAGTCCCATTTATTAAACATTAATATAAAGTACAAGAATACATGTATAAGTTTAAAACAATGTATAAAACTTTAGATGTGTGTCATTAAAGTTTATATGAAGTCAAAAACTTTTTTTCCTAGGTTTTGGATAGAGTGGGGAAGGATTAGAACTCCTGCTGGATTTTTACTGTTATCCAGGACTCGGCTAGGGAAATTTCCCCTCACCTCCTGTCCTGGTGACAGTTTTAACAGACAGGAAGTAAGAGAACATCTACAATAAGGATGTAGACAAACATAAAAATATGTCATGAGTTCTAGTCTTCTCCTACTCTACTAAAGGAAAGTATTTTTTATTTCTGTCTGTGTTGCTGTTGAAGAGTTCCCCTCACTTATTGTCTAGTAAAACATTACCAACAGGACAGGAAGTTAAGAGCAATCTCTCTAAGGAGCCCCGGATAGCCCTGGTGGTCTAACTGTTCCCAACTTTATTCAAAATGAAAAATAGGTTTTATATAGACATACACTTTAAATTGAACTTCTGTTTGTTTGTTTTTTCCAAAGTCAGTTTTATTGAATCATGTCACAATGACAAGAATACGAGACACAAATAAACAACAATACAAAGCACAAAAATATAAGCACCAACGCAAATATGCAATACCTATATACAAAATGCAAATAATGTCTCAAGGAAAGCTCATTGCATAGCCAAGTTAAAGGTTGAAGTTAAAAGTTGGTCTACAGTACAAACACTCTAATGTTAGGGGTAACAGGGAATGTCCAGTACTACCACGTAGGAGATTGAATGTGATAATGAAAGTAAATATTAGATACATGTACAGTGAGAACAAAACACTTCTGAACTTCTGCTTTGCCTATTTAGCAAAACAACATGTTCTCTTTAAAGCACATATTTCCTTTCTTTCACTTCTCTGCTGGGAGCAGAAGAAGCCCACCTACTGTATGTAAGCTAGAATTAGTCAAGTCATAGCATACATGGAACAATAGACTCTTCCCATGTCACAGTGCTGGTGTTTAGTGATTGGCCTCAGGGCAGCCATCAGGGGGGTACGGCCGATACTCATGTAAGGGGCTCGGGAAGCCTGGGGGGCCCGCCCGGGTCCCTTACATGACTATCGGCCAACGGTGAAGGGCGAGGAGGCGGAGGCCTGGCCCTAGCAGCGCAGGGCCCCAGCATTGCCGCTCCAGTGGCTTTGAGACAAGCTTGGGCCCCATCAGCGGCGCTGCTCGTCTGATGTCGGACTGGCCGGAAGTGACGTCCCGTCACTAACGTGACGTCACTTCTGGCCGGTCCGACAGCAGAGGAGGCCATGTGTGCAGGTAAGAGGAGCTAGGAAGGAGGGAGAGGAGGGATGCAGCCCTGACCAGCCCACCTGAGACCCCTTCAGAGCCCACCATAGACAGTCTCAGATGGGCTGTGCAGCATCTATGGTGGGCTCTGCAGAGTCACCCTCAGGTGGGTCCTGCGTCCAGCGCGTCACTAAGACCTGCGGCGGGTGGGGGTAGGGCCCGGCCTAAAGCCGTGTAAGGGGCCCCAAAATTTCGGATGGCTGCCCTGATTGGCCTAACACTGCCACATGGAGTACAGCTGGCCGCTCTGCTGAATACCGAATCCTACTGAATTGGTCAAAACTTGAGCTGTTGGGGGACCCTGTCAGGACCAAACTCTTTTAAAAAAAAGCAACTTTTGTTAAGGGAGAAGGGTGGAAAATGATCAGCATTGAAAAATGGGTGTAAAAACAGCACCTGCATTCAATCAGAATCTGAATACTGTAGCCAGCAGCGGGGATTCCTCTATCCACGCTGTTTAGTCTCGATGGGGGGAATCTAATCATTTCTCTCATTCGGCGTAACAGTGTGTGGTTACCTTATAGTGTATTTCCATGTTTGCAGTCAAATTTGAGACCCCCCCACTATATATTTGTCCTGTGTTCCTAATCACACAGCATACTTAAAAATAATAATACAAATATATATATATATATATTTCTTACCTTTCAAATGTGTCTGTCTAGCAGACCTTTGCTAGCTTCTCTCTTATTTTCAAAGTGACAGGAAACCCCATAGTAAGGCTAGAGGCAAACTGAACGCCCTCTAATTAATATACAGTGCTTCTAAGTCTTTAACCCTTTGTTAGAATAGATAGCATTCAAATCTAGTTTACGACTGATAATGCACTCTGCCAGCATAGTACAGACAGGATTAATTAAGTTAATTAAGTTACGTAAAGTTAGAGGAGAATTGTGGGGAGAGTAAAATACACTCATCCCCATAATTAGAGCCGACGTGTGACACTGAAGCTGTCACACGTCGGCTCTATTGATCGGGAACTGGGCAATCACATACCGCCGATCGCTCAGTTCATGTCAGTCACTGCTCCGCGCAGGGATTCTCCCTCCCCTCTCCGTTCCTCCAGGGATGATTGGATGGATGGGGGAGAGGGAGGGGGCAGGCACAGCTGGCTCTACCTCTCTAGAGGCAAAGCCAGCTGTCAACCAGTCAGCGGGTGGATCCTTGGCTCTGCATGGTCAGCAAATAGCGGGCAATAGTTTTGCGTTACAGGAGGATATTAGTAAATGTCCTCTTGTGAGCCTAAAGAGAACTGCAAAAAAAGGTTGGGCTATGGTTCTCTTTTAACCTGCCCAGCCCTCTTTGTATTCTAGAGGAAAACTTGTACAGAATACAACGTTTCTCTAAAAATAGAACATGTAATATGCAAGCAGCAATGTTTAATTTTTAATAAGTAATGCTATGTGAATAAGAACATATAACAAATATAAAGTAGATGTTTTCCCAATTTTGCAGCAAAAATGGAAATACACTTTAAGTCACATACTTAAATAGCTCCTCCATACAATGTATTCTTTTATTTTCAGCGGCTAAACGTAGCAATGTATGTTATCCCAAAGCAGGAAAAAGGGATACAATGACAGATCTTGCTTTATTATGAATTCTCTTTATA